GGGGTTGGGTTTTTGTGGTTTTGCTGTGCCGCGATATCAGTTAGGCAGCTTTTCTCTTAACCAAGCTGCTCAAATTTGCATGTTTCATAGAATCACAAATGAGGAATTTGCGTAATTCTGCACATCAAACATTAGGATTTTGCATGATTCATCTGTCGAGAATCAATGATTTGCTATCAACATAAACACCTTACCCGCCAAAATCCGTGAATCAAAAAAGCTCGATTCACAGATCATCGGTTTCACAACATAACAGCAAATTGAAAGTTATCAAACGCAGAGGTTCTGGAAACCAACATACGTGCTAGAGTCGGAATTGGTATCAGTTTTGGTCTGCGCACGAGCACGATGTTAAGGTGAGCAAGAGGGCGCCGAAGCGTAAGCAAAACCGCACCGAATTGCATCGATTCTAATAAATGCAAGAGAGATCCTCCTATTAATAGTAGTAGTCGTCGCAGGAGTAGTGGTAGTAGTAGTAGTAGCAGCAGTAGTAGTAGTAGTGACCGAAACCGTAGTAGTAGTAGTAGTAGTAGTAGTCGTCGTCGTCGTGGTCGTAGTGGTAGTCGTAGCCGTAGCCGTAGTCGTAGTAGTAGTAGTAGTAGTAGTAGTAGTAGTAGTAGTAGTAGCAGTAGCAGTAGTAGTAGTAGTAGTAGTAGTAGTAGTAGTAGTGGTAGTAGTGGTAGTACTGGAGATCGTATTAGTTAGTAGTAGTAAAGTACGTATACAGTAAGTAGTACGTGTAGGAGTAGGCGTAGTAGTAGTATAGGCTACCAGTTAAGTAGTAAGTATTAAGCAGTAAGTAGTAAGGTAGTAGTAGTAGTGTAGGAAGTTCCCGTTGTCGTAGAGAAGTTCGTTGGTCGTTTGTCGTTGTCCGTAGTCGCTGGGGTCGTAGGCCGTAGTAAGTAGTCGTAGTCTTAACTAGGAGTAGCGGAGGTAGCGTGGAGTCACCGTAAATAGTATAGTAGTAATAGTAGTAGTAGTAGTAGTAAGTAAGTGGGTCGTAGTAGTAGTAGTGTAGCACTTAGTAGTAGTCAGCCAGTAGTAGTAGTAGTCGTAGTCGTAGTAGTAGTATGTAGTAGTATAGTAGTGTAGTAGTCGTAATAATAGTAGTAGTTGTAAGTTGTAGTAGTAGTAGTGTATAGTATCGTGTCGTAGTCGTGTTAAGTAGTAGTAGTAGTACAGTTAAGAGCAGTATATGTATTAGTAACCTTAGTAATATATAATGTAGTAGTAGGTAGGCCGTAGTAGTAGTCCTAGTGTAAGTAGTAGTATAAGTATTAGTAGTTAGTAGTAGTATAGTCGTGGTAGTGGGTAGTAATTAGTAGTTTTGTAGGTTCGAGGTCCGTATCCGTCGTAGGTAGTCGTTAGGTAGTATAGTAGTAGTAGTAGTAGTAGTAAGTAGTAGTAGTAGTAGTAGTCGTAGTAGCAGTAGAAGAAGTAGTCGTAGTCGTAGCCGTAGTCGTAGTCGTAGTCGTAGTCGTAGTCGTAGTCTTAGTAGTAGTAGTAGTAGTAGTAGTAGTAGTAGTAGTAGTAGTAGTAGTAGTCGTAGTAGTAGTAGTAGTAGTAGTAGTAGTAGTAGTAGGTGGTGGTGGTGGTGGTAGTAATAGTAATAGGTGGTGGTAGTAGCAGCAGTAGCAACCGTAGTCGTAGTCGTAGTCGTAGTCGTGGTCGCGGTCGTAGTCGCAGTAGTAGTGGTTGTAACGGCATGCAAAAATGCAATCCGCGAGTGGGCGGGCCCCTCGGCATGTGAGATGGCGCAGGCCTGTAGGTCAACCAACAAACCAACCAACCAACAAGGCAGGAAACCAACCAGCCAACCAGCCAGCGAGCCAACCAAGCAGCCAACCAGCCAAAGAACCAGCCAGCCAGCCAATCAGGCCACCAACCAACTGCCAACCAGCCACGAGGGGGCAGAGCGTGCCGAGAGGCATCTCTGAATAAAGCTGGCGGTGGCGGCACGCAAACATGCAATCCGAGAGCGGTTTGTTTTCGCCACGGCGGCGAGCGGTTGTCCCCGCGGGCAGCTGAGGAATTCCGAAGAATCCGATGGAATCCTGAGGAATTCCGAAGAATCCAAAGGAATCCTAAGGACATCCGAAGAACCCGAAGGAATCCTGAGGAATTCCGAAGACCCCGAAGGAACCCTGAGGAATTCCGAAGAATCCGAAGGAATCCTGGGGAATTCCGAAGATCCCATCCATGGTGGAAATTGGTCTCATTTCTGGTTGGAATTGGTCTCACTTCTGGTTGCAATTCGCTCCGAACGGTTGGAAATGGAACCAGTCGGTTGTAATTCGTTCCATTTCGAGGAGGACCCCCCCCTCCAACTTATGGTGGTGGCGGTGGAACACATGCCCATGAGAGATCTGCGTCTTGGCGAGCACCGCCGCGCCGCCAGGGGCCCCGCCCTGCCCGGGGGGCTGCGCGGGGCCCGCCAAACCTCGCGGCAGCGGAGGGCGCGCGCCTCCCTCTGCATGGGGCTCTCGCTCATCGCCTACCCCGTGGCGCTCCTGAATAGCACCCTGTTATTTGTGTGTCTTTCTTTGTGTGTCCCAGGGCCTCTTCACTCTAGGCCCGCCAGATGCTTCTCCAACGGCCGCCCTCGGGGGTGGACACAGCCGCCCTTAGCCAAGCATCCTGCAGGGAGGGGGGTCATCAGGGAGGGGCCAGCTCAAGGGAGGGGAAACACGGGGCTGGAATCGCGACTTCGACGCGAGGAACGCGATCATCGGGCCAGCGGCCCTGTCCTGCCCAGCACCTGCCGGCACTGGAGCGGGCCGCGACTGCGGCCGCACCGCGACCGAGGGAATCAGCACGGCGGTCGGGGGCGCGTCTGGCGGGGATGATGCCCCCCCTTTTCCCCCGCAGCTTCTGCTCGCCAGGATCTGACAACAAACCAGGGCCTCCATGCCGGGGCTACGCCCAAGAAGACCAGGGGCCGCGCTCTCGGGGCCACACCCTTGAATATGCAACGCCGCCGCTGAAGCCGACGACGGCGGCAAAGCCAAACACGTCCATCACGGAGTCGAGGAAGAAAGACCAACAACAATCATCATCGCCTTACTATGGCTTGAAGAAGGTCTTCGACGCGTCGCGCATCTTCTTCGCAAAGTTCCGCAAATAGTTCTCTTGATCTGGCAGCGTGACTCTCATGGTACCGAGTTTGGAGCGCAACTCTGAAATGTCGATCGCGTCCAGGTCCATCCCCACCTGCGAAGAAGCACAGCCCTTTTTTGACGGACCCTCTGCCCCAGCCGCAGGTTCTGCACTGCGATGTGACGCGCCAGCCATGACGAGCTCCGAGAGGAGCGATCTGGCCTGCAGTGTATCCATAATCTCTTGCCCAGCGCCCGCAGCAGACAGCAACTGCTCCAACACAGAAACATCAATCTGGCCACGAGCGTCAGCAGCAGCATGTTCGCCTGAACCTGGTTCGGGTGGAGCGGCCACCTGCTGGCCCAACTCACGGAGCTGCGCCTCTGGCTCGACGATGACCTGTTGCTGTGCACCCAAAACTTTCTCACTCTCCTTGAGCTCCCCCTGAAGCTTCGCGAGGTGGTCCCGCTTGTCCTGGACCGCCTTCTCCGCCTTGTCCAGTTCGCCCTTCTCGATGCCAAGTGTTGTCGAGAGCTGCCGAAGCTGTTGATGAAGGGGCTGCGTGGAGCGACGTTGGGCCAACCATGTGGTGCGCTCTCGAGCCAAGTCGGCCGCAGGTGCCTCCGTGCCGGCCTTGCCCGCGCAGAGCGCACGCATTCCCTCCAAAATGTCAATTTTATCCAGGATGGCCTTGTCCTCGACGGAGGCACCGTCGACCGACCCCGATGTTGGAGGAACAGCCCGGGGCGCCACCGGCCCGAGCTTGCCGACGAAGCTCTGCAACCTCAGCCCGAAGTCGAGCGAGCTCCTTGGCAGCGGGCTCCATGCCGCCTGTCGCTCGTGCGCTGCGAACCATTGGGCACGCGGCAGGAAGCAAGGACACCTTGCGCATGCCGCCACAACCGTTCCAGCGCATCTCGTCTTCTACCCAACATCGACCCATGGATCTTCGCTGCGAGTAGCACACAAGCGGCGCAACCAATCCACCTGATCAACATGTTTAAACCCTCCCTGGCGCCGAGACATGCGAGTGCGGATGTAAGTGGGGTCGTATCGTTCTTCTGTCAGCGATCCCGTGAGGGCCTGAACGAGGGGCCAACAATTAGGCCCACGATGGAGCTCGCGCACTGTGAGCGACCCTCCCTGAAACAAACACGTGCCAAACGGTGTTCGTCGGACTCGCGGCGGGCAAACGGCCCAGCCCAGGCCGCGGGCGCCCGGATGACGTGGGACGCAGAGGCCAACGGGCGAGAGTGGGATCGTCTCGTGGAGCGTGCTCACCCAAGCCTGGGAAGGCGATTCGGGGTGGGCACTCGAAGTGAAAGCTGGAAAGTGCACGGGGGCACTGAGCCGCCCCTGTGGCTGCGAATTATCCTCCAGCGTCGGGAGCCACGTTGGAACTTGAGCCAGAATGGCCTGAGCCACCATGGCTACAAAGGAGGCGGGATGTAGGAAGTGCAGGAGGAGGAGGAGGAGGAGGAGGAGGAGGAGAGAGGGAGGAGGAGTAGAGAGGGAGAAGGAGGAGAGAGGGAGGAGGAGGAGGAGGAGGAGGAGGAGGAGGAGGAGGAGGAGGAGGAGGAGGTGGAGAAGGAGGAAGAGGAGAGAGGGAGGTGGAGGAGAGAGGGAGGAGGGAGGAGGGAGGAGGGAGAGTGGGAGGGAGGAAGGGAGCCTTGGAGCCTCCCTCACTCCCTCCGTCCCTCACTCCCTCGATCCCTCCATCCTCCCTCGTGCATCCCTCTTCCCTCCTCTGCCTCCTCCGCCCCCTCGACTTCCTCCTCCCTCCCTCTCTCATGAGGGAGCAGGAAGTCGAGTGGTCGGAGGAGCCGGAGGAGGATGAGGAGGTCGACGAGGGGGAGAAAGAGGGAGAAGAACATCGCAGAGGAGCTCGCGGAGGCGGAGGAGAGGGAGGAGGATTAGGAGGCGAGGAGGAGGCGAAGGAGGAGGGAGGAGGGAGGGAGGAAGGAAAGGCTCGACTCGCTTGCAATACGTTCAGCCGGAAGGCTGGCCCCGGTCAAGGGGGAAGCGGCATGCCACAGCGGTACGGTGTGTCCCGCGCCGAGCAGCGGGTGAAACGCGCAGCTGGCTTTCAGCTCAAGGAGGAAGGAGTGAGGAAGAAGAGACGGGGCATTCATGTCGGGAGGACATGCCAGAACAGTCGTCAGGTAGACACGTCCTTCTTCTTGAATCTGGACCTCTCCCTTTTCTTGTCGTCAAGCTCAACCCAGAACTGCAGGCCAGCCGTCGCGGGGTTGAAACTGCTGCCCTGTCCGTCGGCTCCAGCTTGCTTCTTGCTCTGCCAGGAGTGCTGCTGCCACTGCTTGTGGTACTGGTAGTTCTTGCGGAGGTCCCTCTCCTTCGAATACGAGACCTCTCTCCTCTGCCCGCTGCTGATGCTACATGATGGTGTTCCTTTCTCGTGCATTCTCCCTCCCCCTCCTCCCGCCTCCTCATCCCCCTCCCCTTCCCTGATCTCCAAATTTCCATCCCTGTCTGTTTGAGGTCCCTGTCGCTTTCGAGCCAGCGACCATGATTGCAAGTGCAATGTTGTTCATAATCATCGTGACAACCACAAACACCCCGAGAATGAGTATGGTGAACGCTGCTGGGCTCAGCTTGTACAGATCATAGCCTGGCGAATCACCCTGCGCGATCGCGACCGCTCTGAGCAGGGTCGGGATCGGAGCATGCCACCCGAAGAACTTGGTGCTGTAGACTGCGAACGTGAACGATGACAATGCCAAGAACACGAGGAGCAGGGCCAGCAAGGCGTACCCCAGAGGCCGCGCCAACTGGGCGGCCATGTTGCTGGTTGACTGAAGCTCCGGGAAAAACATCAGCAGGTACCGCCAGTATAGCGCATTGACGGCAAAGAGCAAAAGCAGCTGAAGGCCCTCCTCGAAATATTGAAGCCGGTAGCGGCGGAAGAGCTCGTCCTCCACATCTGCGCTTATCTGCTTGTCGCTGACGGTCACCATGTCGTCTGCGTCCACAGAGTTCCTCAGGCAGAACATGATGAAGACCGCAAGCTGCACAAGGGGCAACAGCAAGAACACAATCAGCGTGCATACCGAGCCGTGCTCTCGTTGCTCGTCGATCTCCTTCTTCATGTGCTCTGCCTTCTTCTCATCTCTCTTTTCTGGGGTCAGGCCCCTCAGCTCCGGATCGTCATCATCCAGCGAGGTCACCACGAAAGTAAATCTCGGCCAAGCGAACACTCTGCGCAGCTCGAGCAGCAGCGTCGTGCAGCTGGTGAGAAACACCATGATGTGAAAGAAGTACATCCACGCATCGTCTGGAACGAACGATACCACGGAGCTGACGCGGCTAGTGACGATGCTTCCTGACAGGGTCTCCTCCGCCAGCAGCTGGAAGGCATAGACAGAATTCGTGGTGGGGGAATAGACGAAAACCAGAATCATCTGGGCGACGAGGACGACGTCTCCATACCGCCAGTCCTCCATGGAAGGTATGGCGTTATCGAAATCGCTGGGATCTGACAAGTTGAACCGCGTGGCGATCCCGTCGCTGTAAGAGTTAACCTTCCCGTCGATCATGGACCACCGTGGCAGGACCGCGCTGTACCCGATGCTCCTCAGGTCGCTCTTCTTGCTCTGTGGCCGGCACGCTGGCACGCTGTGGCAGTCCCTGGCGGCGTCGCTGAACACCTGCACCACCCTCCTGTTGGCGGTGGACGAACTTCCCTTTAGCAAATCTCCCCTTGGTGAAAGCGGCCTGGGACCGAAACCGACGGACCTGGACCCGCAAAAACGACGGCCGCGACGCCCTCTCGCGAACCGAAAACGGCCAATTCCTTAATCGACGTGTCAGGGTAGGAGGTCCATCCAGCTCCGATCCTGTTCTTGCAACGTCGCAACCCTCCGTCATAGCACTGCTGGCTGCTGTCGTTCGTCGGCGGCTCCGGGGCGGCTTCGCTCAGGTTGCAGGTTGAGGCCGCGGGCGCCTCTGGGCAGAAGCTCAGGTCGGACAGGTCGGACTCCTCTGGCTTGAATGCCCAGGCGCTCGCCGCGAGCGGGTGGACGTTCAGGTCTCTCAGCGTATTTTCGTACAGACCGCGCCGCAGCGGTCCTTTCAGCCAAGCGCTGTACTCTATGTGCTGCGTCACGTTCATGAAGGCCGCCGCCCCGACAGTGCTGCGCTCCGCGGGTACGAACCGTTCGAGAACCGTGGTGCTACCTTCGATCACGTACCGGTTCAAAATGGTCTGCCGGGAGTCAGGGCTGATTGTCAAGTAGAACACGATCGTCTGAATGACGAACAGGAAGAACTCGAGCCGCCGGCACAGCTTGTCCTGCCGCTGCTTCATCTTCTTGTTCTTGCCCTTGTTGATGAGGTCTGCAAGCGATGGGATGTCCTCTTGACGGCGGCCAGGGGGTCTTCCCTGGCTGTGCCCCCAGAAGATCGGTCAGCTGGGCGGGGCGAAGCCAAAAATTCACGCAAAATCGGTCACTGGAACCCTCCTGGAGCTTGCCGTCGCTCGGACGTCCATTTCCAGTGCATTCTTCGGTTTCGTGCATGTTTTTTTGTTTCGCTCGATGATCTAGGATGTTCCTCAAGGGTCCTTGCCAAGAAAAAACACACGTCCGAGCGATGCCAGGTGAGCCACTCTGATGCAATTCTTCCCTCCAAACCCGCTTGCCACGACCCCGGGGCCCGAACGCGGCCCCCGGAGGCCGCAGAAGGCAAAACAATCTTTCCCAGACCCAGGAATCTCGGACCTCTCCCCCGCTCCTCCTGCTGGCCAGAGCCAGTGGTGGGCCACCTCAGACCCCCAGACGAACCACCTACCAGACCACCCCAACCCAACCCGACGACCGAAATCCCGCCGGCCCTCTGGGCGTAGGTGGTCTAGGGCGTTTCCTTTTCCAAACCCCTTCTTCCTCTTCGGGGAAGGCTTACCCTTCCCGCGACTCCCTCCCCTGGACCTGAACGGGGGGGCCGCGACGCTGTGGAGCATCCAAGATGGCCCAAGATGGCTCCAAGAGCGCCTCGGAGAGCCCAAGACGACCTCCAAGATGGCTCAATATAGCGCAAGATACCTCAAGATGGCACCCAAGATGCTCCAAGAGGCCCCAAGACCGTCTTAAGACGGCTCCAAGTGGCCAAAGAGCTCCCCAAGGACACCCCGAAGAGGCCAAAATCCTTCCAAAACCTACGGGGAATCAACGCTTATTGTTTTCTCGCCTTTTCGCTTCCCATGGCCATCCGAGGCCTCAAGCTGGCTCCAAGGTGGCCCAAGAGGGCCACAAGAGAGGCTCAAGAGAGCTCCAAGACGGCCCCAAGAGCGCCCAAGAGCGCTCCAAGAGCGTCCCAAGAGCGCCCAAAGAGGCGACTTTGGGGGCTCCAAAGGGGGGGCGCCAAAAAAAACTCCCCTTTTTTTTGATCGAGATCCTCCAAGATGGCGCCAAGAGCGCTCCCAAGGCTCACAAAAGCGCCTAAGAGGGCCCCAAGAGGCTCCCCGAGGTACCCGAGACGCTTCAAGAAACCCCCGGGGCTGCCAAAAGGCTCCCAAGACGCAAGAGAGGCCCAAGCAAGCCCCAGTACGGCCCCAAGATCGCCCAAGAGTGAGTGTCCCAAGAGCGCTCCAAGAGGGACCCCTCCTCTGCGTGCTGTCCACTCATCTGATCGAGGCAACGCCTCTGGGCATCGTCTCTGGATGGGCTGGTGGGGGTACTTTTTGATTGGCGGCTCCAATGAAGAGTCCGAGGGGCGGGCGCGACTGGGGCACAGGGCGAGAAAATTGGTTACGACGGCGCCTAGGCCGACGCAAGAAATGCACCTGCAAGAGGCAAGATGCCCCCCATGAAGATGCGAGCGACCCGGAAACGGGGACGCAAGCACCAGACTGGAGTAGACGGAGAGAAGTCGCACAGTGGCGCCAGCTCAAACCGAACAGTCCAGAGAGCACAGGCTAGGGCCAAGCAGCCCAGTGGCAGCACAGTGGGCACGTGAGGCCGAACCGCTCACCACTACGAGGAGGCGAGAGAGCAAGGGACGGGCGGGCAGAACTGGTCGGGTTACGCGAAACGTCTAGAATTTCGGCTTTGGAGGGCTACGGGCTCCATGTGTTTTCAATATTCCCCGACGCCTCCCCACTACTGGGCATGGACGACAGATCGGGGCCCTCGGGATGGGTTGGGTGTGGTCTGGTGAGCGGTGAAGGACGGCTCCAAATGTCCTCCATCTTCACCGCCTCGACCGTCTTGCCCACCCCCTGCTTCTTCCTGGTCTGCTCCAGGTCGTGCTCCAGCGCGCTCAGGTCGAACGTGAAGTCGTCGTATTTCTCGCCCTTTGGCTTGGTGAGGTCCTCACGCTGCAGCGCCGCCTCCGCGGGCACCAGCGTGAGCTTATAGTTCCGGCCCTCCACGGCGCACACCTGCGCGCCAGAGGAAGCTGGCGGCGCGCACGAGTGGGTAGAGGAGGGGAGAATAACTTGAAGGAGGTTGCTTCTGAAAGGCGCTGAGCCCCACCTAAAGATGCATGGCTGGCGCCTGCTAAAAAGCAGCCTCCTTCTGAGAAGCCTTCCCCACTACCTCCCTCTGCGAGTGGCCGAGGAAGAAAGGCCTTCGTTCGGGCGTGGGCAGGACTTGGTTTAGTGGGAGCTGGTCTAATGGCGCATGCCCAGGGACGCCTCCCCCCCCGCCCCACTCCACGGACCAGAACTGCAGTCACCCGAAGATACACCAGCTGCGGCAAACTTGGTTTCATGATTCCGGACAACTTGCTGGCACTGGGCTTCGGGTCACTGACCCCCTTACCCAGGGTCCCGGTGATATCCGAACCCGAACGACAGAGGAAGAGAGGCCTCGTGTAGCAACTCATGGGAGCTTCCCATGCCATCTTGATGGCTATTGCGAGCCGACGCTGACCGACGCTAAATCGACGCTGATCGACGCCAGTCGACGCCAAACCTGCGCGTTGTCATAGATTCACCAGACGCCGGCGCACACTAAGTGCACTCCAGAGACGGAGTTGCGAGGACATGCAGGGCTCCCCTCGCCATCGCTCGGACGCCAGTTCCCAGGCATTCGTTGTTTCCGTGCTTGCTTCACCAGATCGTCCAGGCTGCTCCAAGCTGGTCCAGGTGCTTTGGCGCTGGTCTCGCCGAGAAAAACGCATGTTCACGTCCAGAGGAAGCTACATCCCATGAGTGCTACCGCACACACCGGAGCGACAGAAGAAGGTCGGTAGAACATCACGGGAGCCTCGTCTACCCTGGCCATTCCGTCTGCAAAATGCACTGGCGTCGACCAGCGTCTGGCAATCGATGAGATAGCGCCGATGGAGCGTCGATGAATGTCGATCAGCGTCGACTTGGTAGCGTCGATTCGCAAGAGCCGGCAAAATGATATGGGAACGAACGAACGAACTTGCCACAGAGGGCCGCGAGGGCCCGGCAAGATCGCACCGGAGCGCCGATCTGTCGAAGGGTGGAAAAACCTGCATCTAAAGTCACAATACAGTGCTGGCAAATGGCGCAACATATGGGGAGGCCCCCATAAATTGCCCCAGGGGAGGGAGAGCGGCCTCCTACGCGAGAGCACGATGCGGCCCCACGCGCAGGCCTGCGCGGGCCGCTGGGAGGCGCTGCGCACGCGCGGAGACGGGGGGGCGCTTCCGGCGCGCCCTCGCGCGGGCAGCCTGCGTGCGAACGTCCGCGCCATCGAACATGCTGCAACGGGTCGGACAGAAGGCGGGAGGCCGAGGCTGAGGCTGCGCCTGCCTGGGTCGCCGCTAGGGTTGCTGAGGGGATCGGGGGGGGGGGGGGCTTGGACGTGGATGCTAAGGGTTACAGCGTCCCTAAAAGGGCTGCAAGGGGTCCACTCAGCCCAGGTCTTTGCCCCCGGTACGCCGCTGAGGGCACTTACAACCCAGTTATAGAAGCTGGGTTAGGCCAGGTGTGACCCATCTTGGCATCCACTCTAGCAACCCCAGCGGCGATCCAAGCACAGCGTGCGAGAGGGACGGTCCCACGCGGGGCTAGGCGGTGGCGCCAGGGCACCAGAGACAGATACAACTGGCATCCCGTAGTTGTGTCGCTGTGCATCCGCCTGCGTGGGACAAGGACGAATCCTCCAAGTCTGCCCGAAGGGCGGGAGGGGGGCAGGAAAGGGGGGGGGACAAGCGATTCGGCTCGCGCGGCCGATCTCCCTAGCGCCCCCTGGCGCCGCAGACGCCCATGCATCGAGGAAAAAGCACCCGGGGCGCCAGGGCCGACACCGGCTGCATGCTGCAGGCTCCGCACTCCCCCCCGTTTGTTCCCTATCCAAGAGGAAGAAACACCAGCATAAACTTACACTTTCGACGGTCCGCGAGGATTTCCTGGATCTGCACTGGACTCCCCTCCCTGGCACGCAGGCCAGAGGCGGCGCCGGAGGCGCCGCCAGGGGGGCCCAGCGCAGATCCAAGAAATCCGCGGGGAGCGCCACAAGAGTATGGCTATGCTGTTTTTTTATTCTCCCGTCCTCCTTCGCAGTTGCCTCCCGAGGCCATGCGGAGGCCCCCAGCGGCGCCAAAACGTGTATCCTGGACCCCAGAGGCGGGACTCGCTCCTTGCGATGCGCGCACGCGTGAACAAGCTGGCCCGCTGGGGAAACCAAAGGTACCGATACCGCTGCTCCCCAGACCTCTCAGAGGATGCGTCCAGACCAGAACTCGGGAGCGAATCCGACCGTGGCGACGAGGGTTTCTAAGGAGGCCCACGACTCTGGGACACGCGCTTCCTCATCTAATAAATCAGCTAACAAATCCGCAGTTGCCTCCTCCAGCCTGCGAGCCGCAGCCCCTGACCCCGGCCGAAAGAAAACAAGCCTCTGCTGGCGGCGCCCGGCCGCCGCGGCGGGCGGGCGCGCGCAGGGCGACGGCGCTGCAGTGCAGAGAGGAGGCAAGAAGAAAGGGGAAGGAGGAGGAAGACGAGGACGAAGAGAGAGGAGGCCCAAAACGGCGAAAACGAGGGAAGGGCAGTGGCATCATTACCTCTCCCTCGCCTGACCAGAAGCCCGCCCTCCTCGCCACCGCACACCGCTCCGCCGGCTACCGCCGCTGGAGACGGCGTCAGTTCCCTACACGCTGGTCAGAAGAAGTAGGCAGAAACATGACGTATAGGAAGGCGGATAAAGCAGACTGGGTTCGGGCCCGCCCAAAGAATGACAAGCAACAGCCAGACCATATCGACTCTTGACGTAGAACGGCGCCTGAAGTAGATTGGGTCCTGGGAACCCAGAATTACCTGCTTTCAACGACCGGCGTGCACTGCCTGCTTCCGCCGCCTCCCGCCCAGGAAGCCGTGCCAACCCTCTCGACCCCTCGACGGCGAGGCTCTCTCGGGCACGCGGGCCATCGGGCCCATGCCGTCGATGCATGGGCGACTACGGGTCGACGCCGCTCCTCTGGGTTCATTCGAGAGCTGGGCGAGGGCTGCTAAAACCGTGGCTGCCAAAACGGCCCTCCCGGAAGGAAAACACAACTTCCCGGAAGGAGGCGCGGCACGCGGAACAGTCAACGGGCTTCTTCCCGGAAGGACGAAGACAACTTCCCGGAGGTCGATTTTAGCAGCCACAGATTTAGCAGCCCTTGCCCGACTTCCGGTCCATCCCCCCATAGTATTGCCCCGGAGCACCGCCTCGCTCACCTCGCCGCCCGCTTCCTCGGAGCAGTGCGAGTTGAGACACCAGCACCTCGAAATCGGTCCCCGGAGTTCCCCCTGGGCCACACCAATTTTGCGAGCCGCGTCTAGCCGTGGCGACGAGGGGGCCCATCACTTGGATCACCGCTGGGGCTGCGAAGGTGATATGGGGGGTATCTGTGTGTATACCAAGGCGCGTTATTTCTGGTCGAACCTAGCTGCTATACCTGCGCTGCAAGTGCCCCCTAGCGGCCTACGGGAGGCAAAGGCCTGGGCCCAGCGGGCGGAGCCCACCTAGCAGAGCTGCCTCAAACCCCTTCCAGGCACTCAGGGCACCCATGGCCCACCGGTGCGCCACTCTGGGCCAGACAGGACCCACGCTCGCACCCACCTGCGACCTGTTGGAGGCCTACAAATGGGCACCAACGCCAACACAGGGGGGTGCCTCCACATGGGGAAGGTGATCCTAGACTTCGGTGTTGGTGGCAATATTTCGGTCACCTTGGAAGCCAGAATATTACCACCACCACCGAGATCGGGATCTTCTGCCCTCGGTGGAGGCACACCGCCGCTACTGGTGTTGGTGCCAACCTCCAGGCCTGCGACCCCCCACCCCCTCGGCAACCTCCGCGGTGCTCCGCGTGCGGGTGTCTCCACGCGCCCTCCCCTGCAGCTCCCGAAGCGTCCTGCGGCAGCCCCGGCAGGCCGCCGCCGGCCGGCGGCCGCAGCTCCCGCAGGCCCGCGGGCGCCAGGGCGCCCGCGGCCGCGCCGCCCGGAGGCGGCCCCGCGGAGCCCGCGCCGCCCTCCAGCGCGAGCCGCTCGGCGGGCGGGCCCTGCAGCGCCGGCAGCGCGTCGGCCGCCCCCGGCGCCTGTCGCGGCGGAGGGGGGGAAGAGAGTTGGACGCCCGAGTTATCCGGGGTAACTCGGGTCCGGGGTAGTAACTCGGGTTTGGGTTCCCGAAAAAGGAACCCGAGTTAGCCCTGACCCGAGTTACCCCTGATGATTTTGGGGCTCTGGACGCCCGAGTTATCCGGGGTAACTCGGGTCCGGGGTAACTCGGGTTTGGGTTCCCGAAAAAGGAACCCGAGTTAACCCTGACCCGAGTTACCCCTGATAATTCGGGGCTCTGAGAGAGGGGCGACACTCCTGCTGCACCCCATGCTCCCCCCCCCCCTTTTTGCTGCCTCCCGTGCCCCTTCGCGCATGCTTCCTCGCTTGTCCACTCCCTGCAGCCGCTGGCACGAAAAGCCGGCCTTCCCGGAACGAGTGCCCTTTGCGCCGTGAGAGAAACAACGGGTGCGCCCTGACTGCTGCGCTGCCTTGAACCTGCCTACTCGTCTTGGTTTGGAGGTGAAGAGAGGTCAGCTACGGCCCAGAAGTCTCGCGCGGCGCGCCGCGGCGCCGGCGGCCCCGCGACGCGGTGCGCCTCGCGAGCGGCGAGCGCGTCGCTCCGCCCCGCGGTGCGCGGTGCGCGCTCCTCTTCGAGCCCTCGCGCCCTCGCGCCACCCCCGCGGAGAGAGGCAACCGCTCCAGAGCCCACCCAGACCACAACGCGCAGCGCTCGGGTATCTGTTCGCCCTCGCATGCAAACACCGCTGGAGGCTGCCTCTCCTCAACAGAGGGCAGACGAAGCTATCTGATACTAGGCACCCCGACGAGCGAGCGCCTTCGGTAACCGCGTTCAAAGGGATAATCGAACAGGACTGGGCTGCTCAATGAACGCTAAGGGGGTCGGGGTAGTCTTCCCCCGTTTGACTCAAGCAAGTTTGCTTGCCCCCCCACCCTCCGCCAGCGTTTCTTTCAAGCATCGCTGTGGCGGAAAGGCGTGCGATTGAGTCCCGACTTGCATGCAGTCCAGATGTCCTTTCGGGCCTCGCCACACCCACCGCCCCCCCTTCATGCAGGTAACCTTGTCAGCATCTGGCGAAAAACTGCCTCCTGCTCGTCCTGGAGCTCCCTCGTGGCCACGGCTGTGGTCTCCCAGGATGGGAGGAGGAGGAGGAGGAGGAGAGAGAGGAGGAGGAGGAGGAGGAGGAGGAGGAGGAGGAGGAGGAGGAGGAGGAGGAGGAGGAGGAGGAGGAGGAGGAGGAGGGGTCCGACAAATCGCGTGGTGCCCTCGACATCCGAGCAGACCTCACCGCGCGGTCCGCCACCGCACGGATCTGGGACCCGGGAGGCCCGGGCCGCCCGAGACGTCCTCGGAGAACGGCCCGAATCCCCAAACCGTGCGGTGGCACGGAATCCCCACTGACTCACCATGCGGTGTGGTCATCACACCGTCCGGGCGCCCCCGACCAGGATCCTGGCCAGAACGCTCGGCGTCGGTCGAGAGGGAGGCGTCCGAGGGGGGGAAGGTCACACGTCATGGGCCGAGGCATGTGCGCGGACGGGACGGAGACCAGGGGACGCATTGAAACAAGAAGAGGAGGCCGTGAGATCTGGGGAGATCTCATGACCTCCACCTTTGGGTGGGGGCGATGCTTCGTAATCATCACCCCCCTCTTGGATGACCCCGAGATTTGGGAGTCCCGAAACGGTGCGGTGACAGACCGTGTGGTGACCTCGAAATCCCCACGGCCTCACCGCACGGTCCGTCACCGCACGGTCTTGGGACCCCCAGAGGCCCCTGCCGCCCGAGACGTCTTCGGAGAACGACCCGAGCCCCGAAACCGTGCGGTGACCCCGAATCCCCACTGACTCACCGCACGGTGTGGTCACCACCCCGTTTGGGGGCCCCCGACTCTTGGATGACCCCGAGATGCACACCCGGGGAGATCCCCAGCTTACCGGTGTCGGTACCTTCTTGCCCCCCCCCGGGCCTCGGGCCGCCGCGAGGCGGACGACGCGGAGCGCTGGCGCGGCGGCAGGATGACCTCGCTGAGCTGGATCTCATCGGGCAGGATCCGGCCGTCCCTGTCGAGGAAGAACACCTCTGGAGGCCTTCTAAGCGGGGTCCGAGTATCGAAAGCTGGGTAAGGGCTGCTAAAACCGTGGCTGCTGAAACGGCCCTCCCTGAAGGAAAACACAACTTCCCGGAATGAGGCGCGGCACGCGAAACAGTCAACGGGCTTCTTCCCAGAAGGACGAAGGCAACTTCCCGGAGGTCGATTTTAGCAACCACGGATTTAGCAGCCCTTGCCCGGCTTCCGAGAGTAGGTGAGGAAGGATCGCGCCGCATCGCCGTTGCATTGACGGGTCGGCGAGGAGAAGGTCGAGCTGGACATCGAGCCGCAGCGCAGACGCATCGGCGATGCAGCGCGATGTTCCGACCCCACCTGCTCGGACCCCGCTTGGGAGGCCTGGAGCCTTTCTCTCGTCCAGGCCCCAGTGCTTCGCCGCCCGGTTCGCAAGCTTCTTGACCTTCCAGTCCAGCTGCACCTCCGTCTGCAGCAGGCGGGATCCCGCGCCCTCGCTGCCTCCCAGCAGCCCCGCGCCGGTCTTGTCGCCGCCCGAGAAATAGTGCACGTCAACGGTCATGGTACGCTCACGGCCGTCCCGCGTGCTGATGTTCGAGTAGGAGATCGACTACGGAATTGATGTACCCCAAATCCGATTATGCCTCGAGCCTTCGGAAATATGTAGAACTCGGATCTACGAACATTATACGGATCCTTCGGCAATTTTGGATCTACGAACATAATACGGGTTCTTTATCACATTCGACGACACCTTTTTGGGGGTGCATCCCCGAGAGACCCGAAGAGAGCCCCAAGAGGCCCTAAAGGCGCCTCAAGAGGCCCCAAAGCGGCCCCCAAGAGGCCTCCAAGCGGCCCCCAAGAGGCCCCCGAGAGGACCTCTCCAAAAAATCCCAACGAGCACCCTAGAGCCCTATGACCCACAGCCCAGGTACGGTGGCGGGATGGGCCGAAGGCGGGCCTGCTCGGAAAGGTTTCTGCGCCTTCTCCGAAGACACAAGGCAACGTCTCAGAAGACCAGGTGAGAAGCCCCGCCGCCTTCTGAGAAGGCCTCCTCCTTCTCACCGCCCCCCCATCGCTCGCCGCCGACTGAAATTCTGGAGAGAATGGATTATGAAGTCTGGGAAAACGCAAAGGTACAGATGCCGCTGCTCCCCGAACCTCACCTGGGGTGCGTCCTGACCATGATTTCGAAACGACTCCAGCGGTGGCGACGAGGGCCTCTCAGGAGGCAGAAAAACTAGAAGACGAGGGAGGGGTAGCGGTACGCATGGGTGCCTTTCCCTCCTCCTGTAATCAAGGATTTCTGGTGTAGATCACTCTGGGGTATCCAACTCTCTATCACCAATCCTCTACTCGAGATGTACTTCCGGATGCACCCCTCGGCGATCTCGACGACCTTCGCCTTCTCGTCGGCGCCGAGCGCCGCGCTCTGGCCGTCTCGGATGCTCCGCACCTCCTGCTCCAGCTCCTCCTTCCTGCGGCGGCGAGCGAGGGGGGGCGTTCCCGTCGCCCTCGGGGGCAGCAGCAGGGAGGGATGGGCTCAGGTGACTATCTACCAGACCACCCCAACCCAACCCGAAGACCCGAATTTCGCTCGAATTTCGGGCTGGGTGGGGTTACGGGCTTCATATGTGTTTCTTCACTGTTCCCCGGCTCCACCCCCCACACTGGAAATGGGGGGCAAATCGGGGCTTTCGGGTTGGGTTGGGGTGGTTTGGTGGGCGGTGATCAGGGGGGGACGCATCGACCCCCAATCGCCAATCCCGCCACACCTCTGGGCGCAGGTGGTCTAGAGCGCTTCCTTTTCTAACCCCCTTCCTTTCCCTGCTCGGGAAATGTACCTCCCCCCCACACTGGGTCTGGACGGGCTCCCCCGCGAAGAGTTAGAGCGTCCAAGATGGCCCAAGGTAGCTCCAAGAGGGCTTTAGCTAGCCTAAGATGGCCTCCAAGATCGCCAGAGATACCTCCAGACGGCTCCAGATAGCCTCCAACACGCATCCAAGAGGCCTCAAGACGGCCCCAAGACGATTTCAAGTGCCCTCCGAGCCCTCCAAGGACCCCCCACAAGAGGCTGAAATGGGCTCAAAACCTAAGGAGCATCAGTGCGTGCTTGCCTTTTCGCTGTTTCGCTTCCGATGGGCTCTTGAGGCGTCAAGATGGCCCGAAGATGGCCCAACGTAGCCCCAAGAGAAGCCCAAAAGGGCCCCAAGACGGCCCCAAGAGCGCCCCGAGAGCAGTCCAAGAGGGCCCCCAAACACCCTTTTGTGGGCCTCCGAGGGGGGGGCAACAATTTACGACCCCCCTCTTCTTGAGCGAAGGGGCCCAAGACGGCCTCAAGAGGCCTCCCAGACCCCCCCAAAGAGCCCCAAAAGGGCCCCAAGACTCTCCTAAAGAGCCCCAAGAAAGCCTCAGGAGAGCCCCAAGAGACCCCCAAGAAAGCCCCAGGAGGGTCCAAGAATAGAACATCCGATTCTACGACGGGGTCCGCTGCGCCAGAGACGCTTGCCACAGGGAACACCCCGGCATATCTTGCACTGGTTTCCATCCTCAACTTCGCTGCGGGAAGCTATGTGTGGTCCTTGTTTCTTATGGCCCAGGGTGGATGCAGCCACGTGCTCTAGAGACGCTTACCACGGTGAGCACCACGTCGCACCTTGCACCGGCTCCCATCTGAAGCTTCGATGCGGGAAGCTATGTGTGTTCCTTCTTTTTTTCTGAAGATGGCCGCGCAACTGCATGCTTCCAGCCGTCCCTGATTTACCAGCTCCCCTGCTGATCGTTTCTGGCTGGGCTGGTGGGGATTTTTTTTCGACGCGGCCGCAGGCGAGCGCGCCAGCAACGTCAGAGGTCTGACGGGCTACGCGCGAGCCTAATTGCCTAGCGCACGGGGACCGGCGGCCTACCTAAGCTGCCTAAGCTGCCTAAGCTGTCGGGCGGCGCGAAGGGAGCCAGGAAGCGGAGCACCCCGAAACCTTGCCGGCGGGCGATGCAAACTGCAACCAGGACCAGGACCCGGGGGCAGTGCCGATGCACGAATTGAACCAAGGAGCAAAACGCAGCCAAAAAGGCGCGGCAAGGTCACAGACAGCGGAGCTCTTGTGGGGATGTTTTTTTGGTCAGCGGCCGCGCGACAACGGTCTTGCAGCAACATGCGATGTCCGGGACGGCGGTACAAAGCTAATTCTGGTGGGGATGCGCGAAGCGTCACGAATTGATCGCCGATGGAGGCCCCATAGACCACCCCGCCCAAGAGCGTGCGGTCTCGTTACGTTATCGGGGGGCTATCACGGATCGATCGGCGATGCCTGCCAGCATTCGATCACGAGATCGGCTGCAACAATGATATACGGCAAACATTGCATGTTCGTCGGATCGACGGCGAATTACGTAGATGGTTCGTGGATCTACAACATTCTACGTATCTACGCTCGTAGGTTCGGCGGGAAGCAAGTCTGGGGTCATGCAGTTCTGTAGTCGATCTCCTGCCCGAAGTATCAGTCAGCACCGAGTCCGGAAATCGGGCGGATTCGGCATGTGCGCCGAATCGCGCAGCATCGGCACGGAGTCAAAGTCGAACCGGATCGGCTGCGCCAGGACGCACAAGAACGCCATACCTAGACGACTCCTAGATGGGGTCGGAGGATCGCGCCGCATCGCCGATACATCGACGATGCATCGGCGATGCATCGGCGATGCACCGGCGATGCATCGTCGACGTCGGCGATGCATCGGCGACGTGGACGTGAAGCAAATCGGGCCCCACATCGAGCCGCCTCGGCGAGGCGGCGCGATCCTCCGACCCCATCTATTCCGACCCCATCTGGGAGGCCTAGAAAGCAAGCATCAGGCCGCATCGAACCGATGGAGCATCGAAATCAAGGGCTCCCAAATTCGCGCGTCGCGCTGCGCGAGGCGCGAAGCGCGAATCACTTCGCGCTCTCGCGCCGCCTCCCAGGGGAGAAGAGGAGGACGAGGAGGACTCGGAGCCGAACCGCGAAGCGCGCAGCGCGAATAACTTCGCGCCCTCGAGGGCGCCCTTGGCCTGGACGCCCGAGATGGGCATGGAAAGAATGGGTACGATGTCCAACAACAGTTCCTGTTCATTCTGAACAGGATTCGCTGTCCACGCCGCCGCGGCCTGTGCCCATTCGAGACAGAAGGCCGCCTGCCCAACGGCGGCCGCTGTTGGTTCGGGACAACACTTGTTGTTGGGCATTGTACCCATTCTTTCGGTACCCATTTCGGGTGTCCAAACTTTGAGATCGAAGCGCATCGGGGCGGCCGGCGGAGAGACGTCGACTCGGATCGCTCTCGGAGCGGCGCAGGGAGGAGGGAGGAGGGAGGAGAGAGGAGGGAGGAGGAGGAGGGAGGAGGGAGGAGGAGGAGGAGGAGGAGGGAGGAGGAGGAGGAGGACGAGGAGGAGGAGGAGGAGGAGGAGGAGGGAAGGGCCCCCGTCCTGTGCTCGCACTCCTGGAGCTCCTGGGCCCTCTCCTCGGAGCTGGCCCGGGCCTGGCGGAGCTGGTCCTGTGAGGGGGCTGTGTGTTCCACCCCCGCGGCCAGAAGTTGGGAGGGGGAGGGGGTCCTCCTCCTCCTCCTCCTCCCCTCCTCCTCTCCTCCTCCTCCTCCTCCTCCCCTCTTCGTCCTCTTCCTCCTCCTGCCTCCTCCTCCTCCTCCTCTCCTCCTCCTCCTCCTCCTCCTCCTCTCGTCCTCCTCCTCCTCCTCCTCCCCCCCCGTCCAACTGATGGTGGTGCTGGCGGGGAAGGAGGCCCATCTTCCTGGACCTTCTTGAAGTCGTACTCGAGGTTCTTCTTCTCCTCGAGCAGCTGCTTCTGGTCCCTGGTCTTCACGACTCCGTGCGACCTTGCCTCCCTCCCTCCCTCCCTCCCTACTTTGAGGGGTCCCACAACGGAACGGCGGCAGGACGTTTTGACATCCACGCCCGGCGACCTAATTCCAAGGAGGGAAAAGAGGAACGGCTCGACTGAGATCCCGCCCTTCTTGGGATGGAGAGCTTTGCCGAGCCGTCTCCAGTTCTCGCACTCGCGCGGTGACCTCGAAATCCACAGAGGTCTCACCGCACGCCACCGCCGCGCGGTCTTGGGACCCTGGAGAGACCCCAGTCGCCCGAGACATCCTCGGAGAACGGCCCGAGTCCCAAAGCCGTGCGGTGACCCAGAATGCCCACTCACCCGCCACACGGTGTAATCCCCGCACCGCTCGGGCGCCCCCGAATGTCTTTTCACTTTTCACGCCCTTAGCTGCCCCTATACGCAACACGCAACACGCGTCGTATTGATACGGAGCTCAACACGTAGGCTGAAGACGTAGGTCCGACGCGGTACATTCGCCAAAACGTGGCCCAATACGTGGAGCCAACACGCAACGTATTGACACGGACGTCTGGAACACCAGAGGTGTTGCGTTTCAGAACGGGCGTGTCGAGGCAACTGCGTTCACGCCTCATCCCTCCCGCTGCCCCACCCGGGAAAAGCAGGCCCGCCCCGACCGAGCCACGGGGGAGGGGGGGCGGCCCGGCTTCGGCCGGCCTCCTCGAGGGCCCAGGCCCCACGCTGCTCCGGGAGGCCCGGTCACTCTGCGCGCGGTGGTATCTGACGCCCTTCCCCCATGCAGGGAGGAGCAGACCACACGAGCATGCACTTTGAGGAAATCCGCGCGCGGAGCTCCGAGTGTGCATGCCTATGCAGCTTGTTCTTCTTCGGACCTTGCTCCGCCTGCGCTTGCGGGCAGGACGAAGGGGGGAGACGTATAGCCGCGCAGTCGAGGACACGTCGCCGATGCGTCGCCGATGCGCCCCGTGGGGCGGCCGCGGCCGAAACACTTGTCCAGCGGCGCGTGCTGGACAGGACTTCGAAATTGTGTTGTGACATTCGTGTGTTGCTCCACTACGCTGCGTGGTTCGATCACGACTTGCTCAATGCACTAGGGCAATGATCAGGTCGAACCTGCTCTTGCCCTCTGGTTCCAAAGTTGCGACGCTGTGGCAAAAAGGTGTTGATTAGATATCTTTGAAAACGCCGTGAGCGGTCGACTCTGAAAATTCTTCCCGACTCCTTCCACACAGTCCTTGCCCTCTGGCAACGATGTCACAGAAGCGTCTCTTGGAAACGACTACCACACCACTACGACCGACTCCTGCACTATAACGACTCCAGCTGCTCTTCCGACCGAAATGCTGTTGTAAGTATTCCGTGTCAGCACGCTCCTGACCAGTCTGGCCCCCAGTCAGCCGAAACACGAAGGCCCAGCTGAGGCGTGCCCTGGTGAGGGCTGAGCTTATATTCGTGCTGTCGCTGTCTATCTTCTACATTCTCTCACTGTGTTGCGACATTCGCATGTTGTTCCATGGCATTGGGTGGTTGCACTAAGTCTTACTCGGTCAGCAGCATGTCGAGGCGGATCCGGACAACCTCCCCGCTGCCCAATCGATAGCCCAGAGAGCCTAACAACGGAATTCCGGAACGTCAATCCTGCGCGAAAATCGGGACTCAGGTTGGCCTGACGGGGGCCATCATAAAGATGACGAGACCCAGTCTGAAATTTGACGCGGGCTCCCGCTGCAGACACCCCACGAACACGGGACCGTCAAAGTCCAGGACGCGCTCGTCCCAAAAAAAGTCGGCAGACCCGAGTTCCGGCTCACTCGAGCCTTACGTTCCCCCGGGAAGAGCGACAGGGGGAGGTACCGGAGCGGGACTTCGCGAGTCAGCTCACGCAGCTGCTTTCCCCGGCGCACCACGGCGCCCGGAGGCGCCAACGCAAGGTCACCGAGGCAAAGCGCCCGGCGGCGGGGCCGACACCGGCTGCAGGACGCAGCTTTTGGAGGGTGAAAGTGGGGGTCGGCCGCAGGGTCCCGGCAATGATGTCTTTATGGGCCATGAATGGGCGATGCATCCTCGATTGCTGTGGTCGGCGGGGGAACTAATGGAAGCCCCCCGCTTGCACCCATGCGCGATATTTGAAAGGAAAGGAAGCAAGGGGGCGGGGGGCTCGGGAAAGGCGACGAAGGCAACGTGCGCTGAGGGCGCAAAAAGAAAAGGCTGGAACACACGAAATCGGTCAGGTGAGTGTCGAAATCTGCCCAGCCAATCTGACATGCGGAACAAAACGCCTCAGTGTTGGGGATCTTGAAGGCCAGGGCAAAATGTGAATTCACATTGTGGGGGAAAGCAAAATGTGAATTCACATTTTGGGAAAAAGGAAAATGTGAATTCACATTGTGGAAAAAAGGAAAATGTGAATTCACATTTTGGAATTGTGTGTAGGATTCTTTATGAAAGGGGCCAGAATGTGAATTCACATTTTGGGAAAAAGGAAAATGTGAATTCACATTTTGGGAAAAAGGAAAATGTGAATTCACATTTTGGGGAGAAAGTGGGCCCCATTCCAAATCTGTCTTGGGGGTCGAGAAGTCATCGTTTGGGAACATACACGATCATCAATCGCACAATCAAGACACACTTGCACTCCACTTCGCTGCCCCACGCGCAATATGCAAGAACCCCCGCACGCATGAACGATAATGGATGGACGGCGCGTGTGCCCGCGCGGGCAACGCGCGGGCACGAACGACTGGCCCTCAATGACCGCCAACATTGGATGCCAATCGTACCCGTTCACATACATGAACGATACATTGAGCATACATGGGCCACTCAGCCCCCATTGAAGACCCCCGGTTGCAGACCCCCTCTTTCACCCTCCAAAGCTTCCGCCACCGTAGCCCCTCCTGCGCCGGTCTTCCTTGCAGCCATCGGCCTGACCCAAGGAACGGTGAATAAGGAACGAAGCCCCCTGTTCCCAAGGAGTAACGCATAAGGAACGATAGATGATCAATAACGCATGAGGAACGATAAAGAACGCATGCAAGCCCAGGGAACGGCCGAGCCCCTTTTGAGAAGTAAGTGTTCCTTATTCAAGCCGCTCACTGTACTGCCTTCTTACCTGAACCTCGTTTTTGACGGTCCCGGGGTCCGACGAGGGCCCCCAGAAGTCGAAAACGAAAACTTGACCGTCACATTTGGCACAGCACGAGGGGGCCTGGGCTTCGTCCAGCCCGATCTGTGTGTCCTGTCTGGGATAATTAGAGGCCTCCCAGACGGGGTCCGCTTGTAGATGGGGTCAGAGGATCGCGCCGCATCGCCAATGCATCGGCGATGCATCGGCCATGCATCCGAGACGCCGGCGATGCATCGCACCATCGGCGTGGTGAAACTCTGGCTCCATACATCGAGCCACATCGCCGATGCATCGGCGATGCGGCACGATTCTCCGACCCTACCTGGGAAAACCAAAAAGATACCCATACCGCTACTCCCCGGACCTCTCACGGGGTGCGATCTAACCAGGATCTCGAGGCGAATCCAGCGATCGCGACGAGGGCCTCCAGGAGGCCCCCAAAAAGCGAAAACAAAGAAAAGAATTGGCAGGGATACCTTCCCAGACATGCGAAGTCCTGATTGTTGCAACACGCGGTCCCCCCCCCCAATGCAAGTCTCGACCCTTTCCCCGGGACCAGTCTTGCACCCCGAATCGTCTCTGACTGCCCCACGGCCTGGCGAGGGCCCCCAGAGGCCGACGACAGCGGAAAACCTCCCGTCCTGATTTCTGTCACGGCGCGAGCCTGCCCGGGTTTCTCGGGGGCGCGAAAACATGGATTAGCGATCCATGGATTTGGTGCGCGGTCGCCAAATCCATGGATCGGGGGAGGTACCCTCCCCGAAATACGGCCATTGCCGCCTCGCTCGGCGGCGGAAATCCGCGATTTCCCATGGAAACGGGACCCGTCGCTAATCCACACCCCCTTGATCCATGTTTGCGATCGCCTGAATTTCCCTCCTCGGACCACCTCGTCGTCCGCGTCGTCCTCGTCGTCCCCGTCGTCCGCGTCGTCCCCGTCGTCCCCGTCGTCCCCGTCGTTCCTGTCGTCCCCGTCGTCCTCGTCGTCCTCGTCGTCCTCGTCGTCCTCGTCGTCCCCGTCGTCCTCGTCGCCCTCGTCGTCCTCGTCGTCCTCGTCGCCTCCGAAGGGGAGGGCCCCCGGCGGCCTCCCCTCCGCGGCGCGGCCCTCTGCCGGCGCTCCGCCGCCGCCGTCGGCCATCTCGGCCCCGGCGCGGCCCGCCCTCTGTATACAGTCGGGGCCTTGACCTAAGGAACCCTAGATAAGGAACGAGGCCCCTTTGCTCCATAAGTTAAACTTCGATGTCCTATCTAAAACATAAGGAAAACCTGAGGCAAGCTGCGAAACACGTAAGGAACGCGGAGCCCCTCCCCAACGAAAAGGGTTCCTTCTTCAGGGCCCCGACTATACCGCGCGCGCGGCGCGCGCGAGGGACAACGACGGGGGACGGCCTTCCGGGTCGGGCGAGAGGGGGGGGATAGCAGAGGTCGGCGGTGGACAGACCTCCCTTTCGCAAACCTCCCTTTCGTGAAGACGGCCCGGGACCGAAACCGACGGACCTGGACCCGCAGAACTGACGGCCGCGACGCCCTCCCGCGAACCGAACACGGCCGATTCACTAATCGACGTGCCAGGGTAGGAGGTCTGTCCACCCCCGACCTTTCGGGTCGGGCGAAAGGGGGGATAGCAAAGGGAGGGTTCGAGAATCAGCTCACCTAGCTGATTTTCCCGGCGCCTCCCGGCGCCGGGAGGCGGCCATGTATCGAGGAATGGACCCCTCGGCGGGGCCGAAACCAGCTGCATGCAGCAAATTTCGTAACCCCCCCTTTCCCAGTCCCCCCCTTTCGTCCGGCCCGAACCTTACGACGAAGCCAGGACGGGGATAAGATCGGGTGAGGAGGAATCGGGGAATGCCCGAGAGCCGGCGGCTCTGGGGGATGGCTCGGGCGCCGCAGAGGCTTCTGAGAGCGTTCTGGAGCGCTCTGAGAGCGCTCTGGGACGCTCTGGAGGGGACTGGCCCGCGTCCCGGCCCCGCCCGATGGCAGCACCGCACGCTCCTGGGCGGGGTGGTACGTTGGGCCCCTGCCGGCGGTCAGTGGGCGATTTGGGGGTCGATGCGTCCCCCCCCCCCCCCGGGGCCCAGCCCCCCCGTCAGCGCTGCCCCGGAGTGCGGCGGAGCGCCCGCGACTCGACCGCGCGGGGTCCAGACCTCCAGCGTCTCGGCAGAACTCGGGGAGACCCTGCAGGGCCTCTGGGCCATCGCGCACGTGGCGGCACGCCCTGATCACGGCAGCTTGCGCGACGGTTCGCGGATCGATCCGTGAGTGATCCTCGAATCGCTCTCAATCCTCGATTCGCGATCCTCGATATAATCGACCCCTCGACCCATCGACCCTTGTCCCAGAGCGGTGTTTGGGGCCTCTCGGGGGCTTCCCGTCGCTACGGCTGGGTTCGCCTCCACATTCTGACGAGAGTGCACCCCTGGTGCGGCCTGCCCTGATCGTTGGATACTAGAAGTTCCCTGTCGCGACCGACGAGATCGGTCGCTAGCGATGTTTCTTGAACTTCTAGCATCAACCGCGACCGATATGCGAAGCCAATTTGTATACACCACCACCGCCCGCAACAGCAATTTTCCGCAAAAAGGGTGCGACGCCACGGCGAAAAGGAGCGCGGCGCAGCTCTTAGGCGCCGTGGCATGGGGAGTTCCTGAAGCAGAAACAGCACTTCTTGGTGGTGGTGTATAAAAATCGCTCCCCTTGGTAACCAAAATTATATACACCACCACCGCGCGTGCCTTGATGAATTCTGTTTCGGTCCTTAAGAGGGAGGGGGCAGCCCGGCTGCCGTTGGCGGCGGGGGGGACTGCGGGCTTTTCACCAGAGCAAAACTGCACCAAATCGCATAGCATATTATTTTCGATCTTGGCGGCGACAGTCAGACACTGTGCTCGGACGATAAGACCGGCGGGTCTTGACCGATGTTGGAATCGGTCGCGACCCATTTGGAGGGCCGATCGGCCGCTACCGATCGCGACTGAAAAAAGCTGGTGCCCAATCGTCTGGGCGGAGGTGGCCAAGGCTCCCCCAGGGAAGGGGCTTCTTCACGATGTCGCCCTCCCGGAGCTGCTTGAACGGCCCCCCGGAGGCCGGAGCCGTGAAGAGGCCTGCCCTGCGTTCTGCCCGAAGGCGCTGACGTCTTGGGGAAACCAACAGGAACCGATGCCGCGGCTCCGCGGACCTCTCCTGGGGTGCGCTCGGGCCCGCAGTGCGAGGCGAATCCGGCGGTGGCGACGAGGGCATCCCAGGAGGCTGGAAAAGGAGACAACGGGGAAGGGCAGCAGGGGTACCTGCTTCTCCTCTGAGGTCTGGGGCAGGGAGGCGCGCGGGGAGGAGGGGGGCAGAGGGGACCCTGAGCCAGAACGGCAGGAGAGGAGTGTAAACCCCGATGTCACTCTTGTTCGGCGGCGCATGGGATCCGAGTTGCGGCCGTGGCTGCGGCAGGGCTTCCGCGGTGCGAATGGGGCACCACAGCCAAAAATATGATCAAGAGGTTTCCTGGGCCAACTTCCTGGAGGTTTCTTGAACAACAAACCTGGGCCACTTTCCGACGTACGCGTTGAAGGAGCGAACGTGCTCAAGGATCTAAGCCAACTTTCCGGCAAGCTGGTTGCAACGCTGGCCCTGCTTTCGGGAGACGATGTCTTAATCATATGGTTGACTGTGGGGAGTTCGGGACAGGAGGGGGGAGAGAGCTGAAGACAGTCAGAGCGCCCTTTGACGGAGAGTCCCAAACACCTGACGGTGTGAATGATTCAATGCGCGTCCCCATGGAAAACACGACCCCAAACATGCGACGTCATGAGTTTTTCAATACGGGTTCCCCAGCAATCCCGACCCCTGCCCTGGGACAATGTTTTCATCCTGACGGTCCTGCTGAGGCTCGGTAAGGGCCCAGCAGGACCATGTCGGGAGGCTACATGTCACATGTCCTGATTTCGTCGGGAGGCTGCATGTCACATGTCTGCAACCCCTTCCCCTGGTGCAGTTTCTGGTCCCAGATCGTGTTTGCTGGTTCCTGGGGCCCGATAAGGGGCTCCAGAGGCCCAAATCGAGGAACCACACCCGCATGGAACAAAAATCAGATCGTCGGACCGAGGCCGGCGACGCCACGGCTTTTTCACGGCGCGGGCACCCGGAAGTCTCGACCCATGCCCCAGGACCGGCTGTTCGTCCCGCGAAGCGCTCTTTGCCAGTCCTGGTGCCCCGCGAGAGCCCACGGAGGCCGACAATAGCCAAAAACCTTCGACGTGACTGCTTCACGACGCGAAGGGATCTCCCAGATCATCGGATACCAAGTTTTTTCGGTCGCGAACGATAGCGACCGATCGGCACTCCAAATGGGTCGCGACCCATCGCGACCGATCTGTCGCGACCGATTTTGAAGCAAATCGGTCGCGACCGATACCGAAATCTGAAGCAACGTCGGCGGCGACCGATCTCGCAGTGGAACGGAGATCCCCCCACGGGGAAATCGGATTCGGTTTCGTGTTCGTGTCGCGCGTGCGGACGAGGCGAAACTGCGTGGGCGCGCGAGAGAAATAACCCCGCCGTCGCTAGGGCGATCCGGATGCAGTGGACAGCCCTTCCGCCCCTGGTGGTTGTGCGGTGGCACAGGGTGTCCCGCCGTGGTGTCCTGTGGTGTCCCGTTGGTGTCCCATTGGTGTCCCATCGGCGGTGGGCGGGCGGTGGCTCGGGGTGTCCCGCCTTGGTATTGATCATGAAGTCGATCGTGAGAACGATAATGAGATCGCAACAGTGAGATCGACAATGATATTGACTGTGGCATTGGTTGTGAAATCGATCATGGGATCCATATAGTGAGATCGATCGAGGAATCGATAATAAGATCGATAGTGAGATTGATGGTGAGATCGAAGCCGTGATCTATAGTGATATCGATCGTCGCATCGATAGTGAGATCTATAGAGTGAGATCGATCGAGTGTGATCGTTCCTGTGAGGCCGATAGTGGGATCGAAAGCGAGGACGATAGTGGCATTACATCTCTGCGCAACGTCGTCATCACGCGTCGTCGCTAATTCGAGGGCACGTCACAAGCATCGTCATTCTCACACCCATCGAATTTGCCAGCAGTCAGTTCCTTCTGCCCCACCCCTCAACCTCCTTATCCCCCGAAGGGTGATCGTATACTCTGGGTTGCTTAATAAGCGTGGGGGGGTACCCCCCCGACGGGGGCCAACCTCGCCTCGTCGTCGCGCAGCGACGGGGGTCGGAGCGCCTTCGGCGCGCGGTGGCTGCCCGCGACGGGAGTCGATGTAGGGCTGTCGGCGGGGGTGACGCCCCATCGACGCTTGTCAAAAAACTCGGAGTAGGTATTCGCTTCACAGAAGCACTTCGCTTCCACTGAGGCCTTTCACAGAGTCCTCTGCTGGAGTCGCTTCCCAGGAGGAGAGCCGGAGGCGCTTTCACAGAGGCCTCCGACGCCTCCGGCGGCTCACCAGACGCCGGGCACGCCCTTCAGTGGGGCGCTGCCTCGGCCCCTTGCGAGGGCCTCGGGCCAGGCGGGGGGGAGGAGGAGGAGGAGGAGGAGGAGGAGGAGGAGGAGGAGGAGGAGGAGGAGGAGGAGGAGGAGGAGGAGGAGGAGGAGGAGGAGGGGGCGGGGTCGCGCCCATGGCCCGACGGCTGGCCCGCCTCTGGCCACTCGAGCAACCTCTAGAGACCTGTAGACCCACTCGTCGCGACCCGGAGATCCGAGCGCGTCCCGCTCTTCCGAGCCGGGCGTTCTCGCACGAGTGCGGGCTCCGGGGCCCTCCCGGATCGATCCAGCTCGAGAGGTGGCGCAGAAAGGCGGGGTCAAGGGTTCTGGCCTGATGTTGCTCCCATCGCACTTGAAGACTCAGGAGAGGCCACGTCCCAGAGCTAGCTTCGGGCCCCCGGAACAGTGTCGAAGGAGTGCCGAAGCAGTGTCGGACGAGCGTCTTCCCAGCGCCCGGCACGTGAAAACCCTGGAGTTTCGGCAGTTCCCTGGCACCCGAAAGTCTTTCTGGTGCTCAAGGCTATTACTACTACTACTACTACTACTACTACTACTACTACTACTACTACTACTACTACTACTACTACTACTACTACACTACCACTACACTACCACTACCACTACTACTACTACTACTACTACTACTACTACTACTACTACTACTACTACTACTACTACTACTACTACTACTACTACCACTACTACTAACTACCA